TATGTGGTGGTATGTGGTATTCCTTATTTTCATAGTCATTATTTGGAAGTTGCAGATTTTATCTTATTCTCAATGCAGATATGCTATGGTAGAATAGATGAATATTTCTCTGGTTGTATGGGGTATTCCTTATCTTTGTAATCTTCATTTAGCAGTTGTAGATATTGTTTCATTTTGATTAAAGACACGTTACGATGAAATAGATGAATCGTTATGTGGTATGGACTATTCTTTATTTTCATAGTCATTATTTTGCAGTTGTGAATTTTGTCTTTTCTCAATAAAGATATGTTATGGTGAAATAGATGAATAGATCTCTGGCATTGGCTATTCCTTATCTGGATAATCATCGTTTAGCAGTTGTGGATATTGTTTCGTTATTAATAAAGACAGGTTACGGCGAAATAGATGAATAGTTTCCTGGTATAGGCTATTCTTTATCTGCATAATAATCATTGAGCAATGGCAAATTTTGTCTGATTCTCAATCAAGACACATTATCGTGAAATAGGTGAATAGTTTCCTAATTTGAGGTATTCGTTATCTTCATAATCACCCTTCAGCAGTGGCAAATTGTCTCTTGTTCTCAATGAAGACATGTTATTGTGTGATAGATGAATCGGTGTGTGTGTGTGTCAGTGTTTATTCATTATTTTCATAATCACCAGGAGCTTTTTGGAAATTTTAGTTTATTATGAATGTATTGACAGTAGGATGAAATAGTTGAATGGTCTTCTCACACTAGTGGTTCATTATTTATGTCATCATTTGTCGAATAGTTAATGGGTTTTGCGAAAGCCTCCCTGAAAACTTCAGTGTGATTTGAAGGTAGTTTTTTCTTGATTTCAATTTGAGCTCTGAGTTGTTTAGATCCCAGTTCTTATGTGGTTATTATCATTAGCACCAGATTTTGGTGAAGGAGAGCAGTAAATAAGGTGTTATTAATTCCGTGGGTATTACACTACCCCAGGTTGAGACGAAGTGAGAGGAATTATGGTCGGAACGACAAGAAGAGAAAATATGCGTTTAGAACATGGTCGAAATGCGTTTGTTATTATTCGCCCGTTCAGACCGTGTTCTTAGTGTTGGTGTCGCCATTGTGGAGGCTGCCGATATTACTTTATGCAATGATGGTGTGAGGAATAAAACTCGTTATATGAAATTATTTTTGATCTTTTGGACGTGAAAATAGTTAGTGTTAGGTTGATTTTTTCTCTGATTTAATATTTCAAATCATCAATTTGGCTATAAAGATATCTGTTGATAATAGCATTTTAAAATGAAATCAACCATTTGATCGATACTCGGATTATTGTAAGAACTCTTGTTTCAATTTTAAAGAAATATCAATACACATTGGATTTTGTATTATTAGATCGTTCATTAAAAACGCAACACAACAAAAGATATCAGGAACTACTTCTTGTTGCTCGATTTTCAATTCAATCTACACAAAATGTTCTAGTAAATCAAGATTAGTTTGTTTTCTTTATTTTGTTATGTCATTTGCACTGTTATCTCTGGATTTAGTTTGTCAAACAACAAACTATTCTGATCGATGTTCAACAAAATACATCGAATAATCTAGAACTAACTTATTTTGAAAGTCATGGGAATTTACCAACTGACAACTCATTAAATAGTGAGAATTTTGTGCAAAAATGTGCTTGAAATGAGTTATTCTACTGTAGGATCTCGTCACATAGTTATTCAATCATTAAAAATTAGTTTAAATCCTTCTAATTCTGATCATATGAGAAGAGGAATACAGTAGACGAATTCTTGCCATGTTATCTAATAATTGCAGTCTGACTATATAGGTCGAAGCTCCGCTCATACTCGTAAGACAAGATTTGGAGCATATTCGATCTGAAAAAGTTGTTGAAACCATATTATCTGGATTTTATGACACATTCAGAATTTTGTTAACAAGAAGATCAATGGCGGAAATGCGTAACAAATCTTAGTAATGATTTTTTGTTTTTTCAGGTAGTATTGATCATGATAGCAACGATTTATCGAGTGAAAATGGTACATCATCATGTTATGCGCAATCAGATTATTCCTCGGATGACAATGAATTACCACCTGATCAAACTGAACTCGAACGTCAACATTTTCTTCATCAGCTCATTGAATTCGTTCGTGATGCTAATCTAAAGAAAACAACAACATCTTCGTTGTTATCTTTATTAAAATCGGTAAAATCTTGTGATGAAATTTCTAGATCCACAGACCCGTTATTCAAACAATTAGACATCAAATTTCATTATAGTATTTTCATCTAGTGTTCAACATGCTCAACATCATTGAGTAGATTTCAAGATCGTTTTATCAACTGTAAAAGTTTCAATAGAAAGACCAATTCTGAATTAATCGTTTTTTCTATTGCCGATGAATTACAAAGAGTCGTAAAGTCAAATATCGAATAAATTAAATGGTATTCTGTTCGTGAGAATCAATTGATATCAGATATAGTACATGGTAGATCAGTCAATCTCTAATGCTTGCTGTCTTTTGAACAGTTTTTTCTTTCATGCAATATTTATAGACAACGATACTCAAATCGTTCGACTTTAACGATGATGATTACTACTGACGGTAAACCGATGATCAACTCAAAAGCAACAAGTACCAGTATTTAGCCTGTAAGTAATTGAAAAGTAAAAGTAAAAGCAACACAAACATGAATATTCCCTCAGGTAATGAGTTTTTTGGTTGAAATATTACCTTTCATTCATGAACGTTTGGACAATGTGATGTTACTTGACTTATGACATTCTCCGATTAGTCCACCAACTGATTTGTTATTATTGAAAATTATCCATTTGATCAAATCATTGACTATGACTGACATTGATATTCTCGTTGGAAAAAGTAAGATTGAAAAATTAGAAATCTGCAATCAGATGAATCTGTACTGAACAATATGTGGATGTCTCGTGTACAGACATTCATTGTTATGACTATGATTTACGATACTTTAAGTCAAGAATATTCTAATCTTGAACGAGCTCTGCCTAACCCCTAAACATTCTAGTCTCTAGGCTTGATGACGTTATCATACATGAAGAGCATGTATATGTCCTGTAGTTTCGCACAAAATCTAACAGTACTATTACTTATTGATAATTTGAAACTAATGTGTTGAGAGGTTCTTTCTCTCATCTTGAATGAAATACTTTCACGTACGACAAGATTTAGTTGCGAAGAATTATCTAAGCAATCGTTTATTTGATCCAAGCTCGTTCGGCTGTGTTCGCCATACTTGATAATTGATCAAAGATATGTTAAAGTCTTTCTGCTCTGCCATTATGCTCTCATCCCTTAAAAAGAAAATTTTCAGGAATGCTCGAAAGGAATCTGAATACTGGAAAGATCACACAGTATTTACTATTCGTATATGGATGAATTGCGCTCGTATTGTACCATTCGGGGAAAAAAAAATCGAAAAAAATTCAAGTGAACGTGGAGACTGTCTAAGTCGTGTATTCGATAGAGCTTCCCAGTGAAAAAAAGTTAGATTATGCGTGATTTTATGATATTATCATCGAATTTTTCTGCAACAAAATCCAAATTATAATCGATTGAAATTTTCCAAATCACAAATAATCTGATTCTAAATCAAAAATAATTCTTCGAAATCAAGAATACTTTAGATTTTAATCAAATTACATTGGATTTTAATCAAAATTTTAGTTGATTTCGAAAATTTTTTTAGTCCGAAATAATCCTCAAAATCAATTAAAACTTTGATTAAAATCCAATGTAATTTGATTAAAATCTAAAGTATTCTTGATTTCGAAGAATTATTTTTGATTAAGAATCAGATTATTTGTGATTTGGAAAATTTCAATCGATTATAATTTGGATTTTGTTGCAGAAAAATCCGATGACAATCTCACAAAATCACGTATAATTTGACTTTTTTTCACTGGGTTTATTCATTGTACATGAATTAAGTACTTTACCAACTACCAGGTTTTCTCTTTAGGAAAAAACTAAGCTACCTATGTGAACGAAAGCTCAGAGATATCTTGGTAGTGTAAAATTTATTAATGGATATTTTTATTTTTATCGTACATCAAGCGATTTCGATCGATATTTATTTCACTAAACAGCTTCACAATAAAAAGGTACCTAAGCTAAATATCTAAAACGTTTCAAATCGAAAACAGTTCGCTCGTATGAAATACATACACTCAATAGATAGCTATTATTGATTGGTAACTCAAACTCTAAAAATTTGTTCGTAATACTAATTATTTCTTGTTCATCGAATTTTATTTTTGTCAATATTTGTTCATCTGGTTTAGCAATTATTTCATGAAACATGAACGTTCCTTTAATGGTTGTTAATAATAGTATTCCTTTCTCAATAAATTAATGTTTTCTTTCTTATAAAAATGGAGTCGAATTTTTGTAAAATCTTTTATTTTATTCATTAAACCTTCAACATCTTGAAATGATTCATCAGTATTTAATCTAATAGTATTATCGAATAATCGTTTGCTAACAGAACCGACTCCATCAACAATACCTTGACCATGGCCACTTTCTAAAAATAACCACCTTATTGTCATGTTTTTTATTCTCGCATAGTACTTCAAATAACAAATTGTGGTTTCATTTCTACATTGACTTGATGGCGAATCAGAAATAAAATTTAATTCGATAATTTGTTTAGCAGGTTTTCCATTAAAGAATTCATCTAATAAATGATGACTTGCTGTCCATGTACTTTCTGATTGATGATTTGTTTCATCTGATAACCATTCAAAACTAAAACAGTTATTCTGCTGTCAAACGTATCCTGCTGATATTGAAATTTGTTATTCATAATAGTTTGTAGTTGAAAAGAGAAAAAGTTTCAAGTGGTTCTAAACAGTTTTACCTAGATCTTAATGGAATCTTACAACATTCCTGCCTAGCTTGTTTTACATGATAATTTTCTAACCAATCCAACTGTATAATTGCTACATTGTCATTTGTCAATGCTAATTGTCGAATTAACTCAGCATTTTTTAATTGAACACGAACTAATTTCATATGTTGTTGAAAATCCTAAATAATTAACAAGAAACAGCAGTAGTTAAAATTGTCCTCATTGCATTTTCCCATCAGAATACTCACAGATATTTCTTGATTTAATTTTACACAAAATCTTTTAATTTTGTTTGTCATTATTATTTTTCTCGAAATAAATCCACTACTTTTTTCACTTTGTTTCTTAATCCATTCTACATAATTTATTGTAAATACTTCTGCTTTTAAAAAATCTAGCTCTTTCAAAATTTCTTCTACTTGTTTTTCATCATCAATTATTGATGTTAACTCATTGGTTATTAAAGGGAATAATTGATTGAAGATAGGATATTTATTTTTCAATTGATTGATTCTTTCAGATTTAATCTGTGGATTTAAACGTTTCATACAGAGACAAGTATCCCCATTCGTTTGGTTTAGGTAAAACAATATATGATGGCATATATAGATGAACGTTGAATAAGAGCAATCATATTGTGTCGCCACAAATAAATTTTTGATGAAGATTAACCAGATGGTTTAACAAGTATCGTACTTGTTTACTATCGATAATTCTTTTCTTATCTGGTGCCAATCGTGTCATCTCATTATTATTTAGAAATTGTTCGATAGCTTCATTCAATTCTTTTGATAAATTTGTTGTTTTTGTTGATGGTAAATTTTGATTTGATAGCTAAAGCGTAAAGAATTTTCAGCAACAGAAGATGATTAAATTATCAACAACATACGTTTATACCAAATTTATTTCGAATACCTACGATACTACCTCGAGATAAATCCTGTTTTTGTACTAGCATGCGTGCTGCTGCATGACGTTTAGCATTGCGATTAATATTTTGAAAAAACAAAAATTTTGATGGTGATATGATTCGTGTACTATCTGAACTTGTTTGCTATGACGATGGTGATGATAATAATAATAATGATGATGATGATGCTTGTAAATTAATTAGTTATGCTTTCCGTTTTTTCTTCTTGCAATTTTGTGATTCAAATCCTTTAAATTGTCGTTCTCTGATTTTAATTGTGCTGCAACTTTACGACAGCGTTGACGATCTTCAATTTTCCGAAGATCATTTATTGATAGTGTGATTGTTGATATTGCTGGTATTTTTGTTGTTGTTGCTTTTTTTGCTCGATATGAAGCTTTTCTTGTTGATTCTTTTTTATAGTTTAAACGTTTCAATCGTATTTTCTGTCGATATGAGCGACAATAATCAGCATTGTTTTTTTCTTCTTTTTCTTCTTTAGTACCAATTTGAAAACGTTAATCTATTTTGGAAGCAGACAAAGAGAAAACTTAAAGACTTATATGAACGTTCAGGTGCTATTAGATTATGAATAATTTAAATGTCAGCGTAAAATATAAATTTATTTCATAATACTAAGAGAAGGAAAAGACAGCTCGAAGGCGTTCAGGGTAGGCGAATGTCAATAAACTGGAAAAACTTCTGAGTCCGAGAAGAGTCGAGTAAATGTGAAAAATGTGAGAATAACTACTGATTTTTAATGAATGTAATTTAAATTTGTTGCGATATTTTTAGAGCAAAATGCTGTTTTCTCATCAACGGTATCGTTTTAAAAGCTGAAATTTTAACCAAAGTCCTACCGCAAAGTGTGTTAAAAATGACGAAATAATCGTTGATTGATTTCTTCTACACTGTAAATTTGTTTTTAAATTCTACTTTTTGAAAAATCGATCTTAAATAAGTTAAAGTATTTGTAAGGTTTTATGATTCATTCAACGAATTTTCATTGTCTCAAAAATGCTTGATTTTCTCAATGATAGAAATTCAATTTGATTTTCTAAAAAACATGATTTTCAAAGGAATTAAAAAATCAATATGAATTCTAGAAAAAGTTAAAAAATAAAAAGCAACTTTCTGGAAAATCATTTGAACGATGACCACTATAGAGTCATTATTCATTCATGTATATCATTCAGCCGATAGTGTTGTGCATTCTTTATTTTCTTTGGCAACTGTAGTGAGTTGATTAATTATATTTTTTCAGTTGTCGCGTGAGTCAGTGCATTTTTTATATATTTAAATTAAAATTATATATTTATTTTATTGGATGCATTTTCTCCTGAAAACAGAAAGTCTTAGTAGATTTTCAAGGTTCTAGAAAATGCTCGAATTACTAAATGCAATTCGAAATAGTAGGAATACCGATATGAATTCATTTTCGATTTTCTAATTGGATAATGAAATTTTTTATTCTTAATGTTTCGAATATCTTATTTTCAAGGAATTAAAAATTCATCGGTGAATTCATATGGGCATTCCTAGAATATCCTTCATTAAACTCTATAACTTATTTTCTAGTTTATAGTATAGTTACTGAGACATCAAAGAAACAGAATCAAAAATCTATCGGGACATTTAGGGGAACCATAGCTACTTGTTTTTCTTATTTTTTATTTTTTATTTGATTTAATGATTCCTGAAAATAATACTTTTCATCAAAATATTTCTGGTCCTTTAATCTATCGAATGCAAAAAGGAAATCAGAATTTACTTCTAAATCGGTTTTAGTAGCTTAAATTGAATCTGTCGGGACATAAAATGGTACATTAGTGTGTTTAGGCAATGTTTGCAATATTTGATGAATATATTGAAATCAAAGCTGTATTTAACTTATATAGTTAGAAAGAGAAATGTCTTGGCTACAAAATAGCTCTAAAACATTAACTTTGTCTAATCGAAGATATGGCCAAGAAAAGCGATTTTTTTGTCGATAAGGAGGAGGAGGGAGGGGAAGAGTAAAAATCAGTGAATTTTTTCCATTTTTTCCTTGAGAATCTTACAGTGATAGCATCCTATAGGCTTGATAGTATATTTGGTAGATGATCTAGACAGTGAAAAATTGTTTTTAAAAAATTATCAAAATCCGTTGAGTAGAAGCTGAGATATGAACACTTTACTGTTCGCGACCCAACGGTACAATATGAGCGCAATTCACCCATATAACGGTAAACTATTGACCTTCTTGTTCGTTTCGACTAGAGTTCAACAAATTTCTATGTTCAGTTTGGTAATAAACTTATTATCTAACTCTTTACTCTTTCTGTTTCATTTAGAATTCCACCATTTCAAAATCTAATTAACTAAACGACCACAACGGATACGTTGCTTGTTCTCGATGTTTGATTGAATGTCGATGATGTCCTTCTCCTTGTAAACAACACACTTTATATCATTGGATTGATTACTGCCAGCATCGATACGAATCTCGCATTCAAGAACATATGAATCAATGTCCTCAACAAGTTATAACTAATATCACAACTTCCTGTGGTGTTCTTGGTTCTTCTCCATTAGCATCGATTCTCTCTATACCTATGCAGTCTACCTCCAATTATTTTCATTTGGCTTTGGCAATCCATTCGTGGCGAATGATTCAATTATTATTATGCCACGAGTTCAAGCTAGCGCACCATCAGCTCGAGTGACAATTCATCTGACATCTTTTTGTTATTCGAAGAGAAACCGACTGTGTTCTGATATGATGCTGCTGCTTTACATAGTTTTTCTGAGTGATTGATCTCAATATTTTCAATTGAGAATCACTAAAAAAGATATAGATTAGACTTATTGAAATTGAATTGATACAGTTCGAATCGACGGGATGTGAAAAATATTCATTATCTTGAAATTTCGGTTAGTCAATGGAAAAATATTTTTCCATCTAGATTAAAATATATAGGAAAGATTTATTTTCTGATTTTACTAAATCTTCAAGAGATCAAAAGTGAAATATTCTGATAATGTAATTTGAAGAATATTATACGAGTTCAACTATTATACCTTTAGACCATTGATGGGTAAGTGGTGTCGAATGATTAAAGATTATCTTAGTACATTGGATTTTATCGATGATTTTCTTCATAGTATCAATTATCCACATTCTTTCAATCGAGCTCCAAGAAATTTTTTCAACTATGGCAAGTGAAAGGCATTAGAACTACGTACGTTTCTTGTCTATTTTTGTCTTCCCAAATTAGTTCGATTATGTCTGTCAATGCCCCATTACCTTCTAGAGATATACGTGTATAATTTCTCATTCTATTTCATCTATATCCGCACTCTTCTTCATTTTTCTAATCATGATGAAATTCACGACAAGCCTGTGTTCATTGAAGAATATCTCAAATCATTTTCATCGTCGTACGATCAATGTAAAGAACTGTATTCAACGCATGCCTTTTATGACCTATACGAACAAGTGAATGAACACAGTTGTTTAGCTTCCCATAGGTAATCTATCTTCTGAAGAAAGCATTACCTAAGTTAGCTTACGTTAAACTAGAATATGTATTTTGCTCTATTGTTTGTATATTTTCACCTGAAAGTTGTCTGCATTACATTGGAAAATTATCTCATGGGTTTGTTTTGTTGGGGCAACAGATTGTGTATTGGTGGTGCATTCATCGACAACTTAATTCAAAAAAGGTATTAAATCATCCCATCTAATTTACGAAGGAAGAACTTATTCTTTGCTCATGTTTTGATTATGCTTTTCTGAACAATTATCGTCAAGAATTCGATCTTGTTTACAATAAAATATTCGATGAATTTCCACCGCAATCAATGAAATTATATTCTCGATATGTACATGGACTGCTAATATATCATTCAATATCATATTGTCGAAGAAATAGAAGCACGAGTTATAATTTATTCATTGAAGTCGAAAATTCACGTGGTGAACTTGTGGGGTGGTTTACGACAGAATCTATTCGTTTTCTATGTTAATAATCGACCATTTTATTTATTCAAACAATTCTTCGAATCAAAGAATAGTTTTTCTTCGTTGTTAAGATCGACAAAAGAAATTCCCAAGTGGGACACTTATTTTGATAAATATTATTCTATTGTTTGTCATTATAAGTCCACTACAGTTATCTATCCATGTTTGTCAATTGTATCGAAGTGTATTATTCTTCGATATGATGACAAATATTCATTTTGTAAACCAATCGAACTGGAAATTAAACATGATTAGCATAGAGAAATTGATGTCTGTTTTCGAATTATATTAATGAATTATTTTAGATCGTCATTGTACTCTAAGTTTTCAAGGTTTTCACCATAATTATCTTCGTTTGTAATCCTTGACTCTCTATAGAATTTTCTAAATATTCTATGGCATATCGGTTCGGTTGTCAAACATCTGATGGCACCAAACAATCGTCTTATGGCTGGTTCAAATACTCAAATAGTATTTGATAATCATTTTAATGCTGTAGAGCAAAATAAAAACTATTTCGATGATGATGAGTTTTAGCTCCTTCGAATGAAAAATCTATTTTCATTTCTTCGTGTTTCAAATTATCCAATTGTTCTAAATGCACCATTTTAGAATAAACAACAACGTCGTTCTTGTAATTCTGATTGTAGCCACAATAAAATTTCTGGTAAGAAAACTTTTTGTATTTGTCTTTACTTGATTCTCTTTTTCATACATAAAAGGATGGATATTATACGTCTCAACCCACACTCTTGTTTTTTTATATTTTTCTTTTCTTAGTATTCAATACCTAACGAATTACTGAACGATTTACTAATAGTAGTATGTGACTTTTCATAATCATTTTGTACGATCAATCTATTTTAGGACTATAATGGACGAAATCTATTAGTTGATCGAATCATTTCTACTCCAGATTGTCTAGTAAAACGGCTCATAAGTCAACTATTTATGAAAGAGGAAATTATTCAAGGTGAACATGAGTAAGTCAACGAAAAAACGAAAAAAAATCAAACGTAACAGACTAAGTTAGATACTGTAAATCTATTGTCGATTACTTTCTTGTATTTGTATTTTAGAAGCCATTAAGGCATGCTTCTTTCACGACGACGAGGACAAGTTTCAAGCTTTTTCATATTTAGAAGGAAGAAAAATTCATAATAATCAACGACGAGGTCTTGATCATCGAAAAAAAAACAATGTAAGTAGTTCTGTTCATTCACCTGGACATAATGAGATTTTCATTTCTATCGTTGGATCAATTCTGAACATCAAAACACAAGGCACATTCAAATACAACAGTGATAGAGAGCAAATATAACAATGATTAGAAGAATTAACTCAAGCAGTGAGCAATAAATTAAAGAACAAAGTCAAATTTTGAACAAGTTGTTTTATTTCATTCGCATTATTATTATTATTAAAAAGTCGTAACTCTATCGAAATTTGTTTCTCAATATATCTTCATTGCGTGTCATACTCTTGTTTTTATTCTCGCTCTTTCGAACATGTAATTGATACTGATGGTTTAAGTGTGAAATCCTTCACGAAACTATGCTTTTTTTCAGATCTTAACTATTTGTACTGTCTCTTTGTTTCACGACGTTGTGTGATTTTTCATTTGATTTTTTTCTTATTTGTACATATTCAGATGTCCTTTTTCTTTCTTGTAAAACATGGAACAATATGAAAGAAATATATGATCAATTGTATATCGATGAACAAGACTTAAACGTGAATGACGGATAATACAACCAATTAGAAGAAACGTTTGGAAATGTGTCACAAGCACTATCGCTTACGTACAAATGCATCACGAACGTGTAGAGAACAAATAAAAAATGCGCTTGAAACGCGACGCACACGTGCAGAGCTACTTAGTCGCCATGCATTCGCACAGCACATGGCGAACACATTTTAACTATGTTCGTCTCGGCTTGGGACTGTAAGGACAATCATCTTCGATTCGTTCGAAATTTTCAGAATTTGTAAAACTCGATCTACTGATCATTTTATGAAACTCGTGTCTTTTACGAAGAAAAATAGTGAATGTAAGTTTAAAGATCAAGTTTTGTGCCTTCTTCTGTCTCTATTTCGAAAGAGAGATTGTATGATTAACAATCCATGTGCTCAAGTTGTTTGGGCGTGATGTGAGTGATTGGCGTCACAGTTTATGAATATTTTGCTATAACAACTGTTAGCATTGACAAGACTTGTTGCCTATCACTCCTTAGCAACGGGCGGGGTGTTAGAAGAGTTAAAAGGTACGTTTCCACAGTGACGGGGGCACAATTCAAACGTCAACAACTCTGTTTTCATAGGCATCGGGATCAAAGTGCATTTTCCAACAACCCAGGTGCTTGGTTATAGTGATCATATGCAGGTCGTAAACGATTGTGTATGACATGATTATGGTGTCTTTAGCACCGTAAACAATCAAACAGAGGCCGCTTACATGCCACTTTTTGTCGTAGACCTAGTCTGTGAGGGTGTGAGTGCCGGTGTTTTAATTGTCTACACTCACACCTACATCCTGTTTCACCATGCGCAATTTAGGAAAAAGAACTTTCGGTATCGTATTTTTCGCTCAAGAAAATATTAGCTGAAAGGCATTTCGCTGGTTTTTTTTACTGAAGTTTTTTTCTCTAGGATGCTCTCCGCTTAAAGTTTTTTTGCGTAATTTTCGTCGCTGTTCTCTATTCGCTCAGAATCTTTTGCTCTTTGACCTTTTGCTGAATGAATACGATACATCAGTAGTAAAATGAAAAAAATCAAGCAATATATTTATTCTTCCGTAAATCCATGCTCGATTATCTAGTGATCTACACAATGAAAAACTATTTTTATTAAATGCTCATATCAGTCAAGTTTTCTCATTTTTTCTCCATGTACTGCTAATTAATGATATTCCAGTACATCCTATTTCTTTCCTCGGGTCAGTGTTGAATCGAATCGCGGTTTATTTATTTGTTCTTGCTTCTTGTCTAGTGATCTGTTGACAATTAAAGGGAGTCAAAGAATTTCACATAATATTTAGCATTTTCTTCAACAGACTCGAGTAATTGCCATTTGTTAGTGCAGTCTATAGGGTGTGGCTTGATGTCACTAATGAATAGTGTGCGAATAATCCACTCAATTAGAGCTCGATACATGTACATCTTGTTGACGTCAATGGTTTTGGTTCGTAGTAGCTGCTATAGCTGATAATATGAATCTTTACATTTGTTCTTTCCAATGACCTTTGAGACGTCTGTTCGAACAATATATAACATAAATCAACAAATACTTGAGAACTATTCGCATCAATCATAAATTAATATTAGTTTTCTCTTTTTGTTGAATATTTCATTGATGCGCCTTATAGAACTACTTCAAGTGACACAACAGGACGTACAACTCAGCTCGTGCACATGCAACACTTTTAAAAGCAGTTTCATGCTGCTCATATGTGCTCCGGTGATCGTCTGGCATTTATTCTTGGCGCCTACTAGCACTGTAGATTATTTCACCGCAATAGACTTCAGTTCTTCATCTGTAACTATGTCTTGCACACTTCCAATATTTATGCACGAGAGTCAATGGAGCGCACTGTTCAATAGAGTTTAGGAGTTCTAGTTCCCGTTCCGATTTCGATATCAAGAAATTTTAAATTATTGACTGCTTTTGGTTTCTAAACTATCGCATAGAACTGAAGCCATGAAGTCATTAAATAGATGTGCAGCTTTTTGTCTCTGCTTTCAGGGATTTTGATTATTTAATTTTAAAAATTAAACACACCAGACACTTCATCATTTAAATAAGACATTATTATATAAATCTACTGAAATCTTTAAACTCAGGTCTTCAATAGTCAATATTTCTCAACACAGATTCGAAAAATTTTCCATCTATTTCATGATTTAACGATTTCGATTCCAGTTTTTTTGTTATCTACCGAACTCTATTTATAGCTCTGTCAAGCAGTCATTCAGTAGTAATTAAAAGGCAGTGTCTAGAGGCTCTTCGTTAAGTGATGATAAAATATTTGAATATTAACGAACAAAACGATTTTTTTTCGCTAATACTAAAAAAAACTTCAGAAACTTTATTCCAATTCAAAAAATTCTTTTTTTTTTATTATACATTCATATTTAGCTTTTTCTTTTGCATTGTTTACTTAATCAAGAATAAAAAGAAATCCTTCGGTTGAATAAACTTATTAATCTCCATTTCAGAGTTAAATGGATGTGAGCATTTTTTGAATCACTTTAAACAAAAAGATGGATAGAACTCGGATTTTTAGCACTCTCTGTTAAGATGTTCTTAAATTTTAATTTCTCTTATCCCTTCTTTTTTATTTAATTGCATGCTAACAATTATACACACGAAAGAAAAACTAAAAGACACGCCATGCATATAAAAAGACAAAACAGAGGATAAAGCGAAAAGAGAAAGAGGTGAACAATGGGAAGAGAATACAAAGAAGATATAACAGAAAGAAAATATGATCTTGTGTTATCAACACGGATCATTACAATTTTCCCAGTTGTTGAAAAAAGATGTTCTAACTAGCTGTTCTCTTGTTGAAAATGATATGATAACATTTTAAGGATGAAGTTAAATGTGAATATCTTTTGTAATAACACCAACAATGAATTAAATACATAATCATAATAGTATAGTTTTGTAATATACAATAGAACCAATAAATTTCCTGTCAAATGAAATATCTGCTAAAAAATTAAATAACGAAAAATATTGTTCACAATATAATAACAAAATTAGCTGAGTTTTAAACTTTGGAAAGTATTATCAATGATGATCAGATGTATGTTTAAAATAAATTCATTTGAAGTTGATATTGAATAATTAAAACCGTTGCGAAAGTGGTAATTATATTCAAGATGAATAAGAAATACGTGAGCTATTTGGATTAATCAATAATGATCTTAAATCCTTGATGTGGACTCTTGATATTTTTTTTCAGTTTTTATATCTTCAATTGAATAGATTTGATGAATGTTTTTAACAATAATTTTTGGAATAACAGAAAATACCAGATCTATTTCGTGATGTTGTAGTAGGAATTCGAGTTAAAACTGTTGTACCTAAATCATATTCAGAATTTTGATGATGAGAATCATATTTAGTTTTGGATCATTGTTATTGATGTAAAATATTTTCTTTCATTGCTACATGATAATGATTTAAACTACGAACTAATTGATGAAAATAATCATCAGATTTTGAAGATGTAAATGCTGTGAGTAGATGATTTGTTGAAAGATTTGCTTGTCAATCAAATGTAAGTTCAAATGGAGTAAAATTAGTTGTTGAATGAGTATCAGTATTATAAGCAAATACAACTGGATATAAGTATTCAGTCCAATTATTTGATTCACGGCTAATTAATTTGACGAGTTGAGTTACAAATAAACGTATGCCAATGTTATCATTGATTATCAAAATCGATCAAAGTTGTCATTACCATGCGATATGGCAAATGCTCTTATTTATCAAAACATATCTTCAACAACATCAATCAAAAACAATTACAATCAAGTAACAGTAATGTTACATACAGATGGAGCGCCCGTTACTAAATTTCGTGGTAAATCTTTATGGCCTATTCAAGCCATTTTATGTGAAATTCCACTACCTATTAGAAATCATAAACAAGCTATTATGATCTTTGGAGCATGGCTTAGTACTCATCATCCTGATAGAAATATTCTATGAACAAGTGTTGTTAGACAAATTCAACAACTTTTCGATGACGAAATCATTGTTATGATCAATCAGTGTCAAGTTAAATTTATTGTAGGTACACAATTAATAACATTTAATCTTCCAGCACTTGCATTAAATTGTAATATAATACAATTTAACGAATATAATGCATGCCCATTTTATAAAATACCAGGCCACACTCGATAAAACAGATTTTTTTATCTTTACTCATCTACTCCATATTCTTCTAACACAATCGATGATTATCGACGATATGGGATATCGAATTCTTCGTACACTACAACTCTTGCTATTAAAGATCCGACACCATTAACAGACATATTATTACTGGCAGTTCAAATTGTCGTCGACTACATGCATTTGAGTTGTAGTGCTCATATGAAGACTTTAATTGGTTATTGGCACACTATGTTGTTACCATGAGTGTTTATACAAGCATCAACTTATTTAACATCAATTATCTTACCACATTGTTTTAATAATCAATTTATACCATTCATAGATTATAATAATTGGAAAACAAAATTCTTCAGGTAAGTAATTGTTTTCCTGATTCATTGTCGACAATTGATACTTATTAATTTTAGAGATTTTCTTCTTTATATTTCACTTGTGTTTTGTACTTTATTTTTGTCCAATAAATATTCATTACATTTCTTGTATTATTTTATTTATGTTCGTACACTTTATCATTACCAAGAAGTATCAGAACTGGACAACATTGATTCGTTGTTCGATCAATATTACAAAAACTTATCGACATTATATGGTCCAAAATCGAAATTATGTACTATTCCCTTGTATTCTCATCGAAAAGCACAAGTGGTTCACTATGGTGCTTTATCAATGACATCATGCTTTGCTCGTGAATCATATTTGGGGTTAGAATTAACTATACGTCATGGTAAAAAGTATAGTCTTGAACAATATATTTATTGGCATTTAATTGATCGTTCTTTATATGAAAAGAATACCATCGATGTACACGACATTTTTATCACTGAACAATATAACGGGCGCCATTTGGATATATAGTGGATCACAAAGTACAAAACGAAATTGATGGAATGTTTATTGAAACAAAAAATTACATCTGATCGAACTTTTGATATTCAATTTTATGTTCGGTATCGTCGTGGTTTTAAAACATTTCATTCAATAGTATATGCTCGTGCTGTAGAAGCAAATAGTTATCAAGTAACAATTGTCAATGTCAAATACAGACAAATTTAAAAAAAGATGCTTTGCTGATGTCATATTGTATTTCAAATTATGCAATGTATATTTTGCGTGTATAAAAGAATATCCATGTATCAATGTTAGTTCAAGTGCTGGACTCATAACAGTTTTATTCCACAAAATGTTGTTGAACGACTCGATCTTTATTATGGTTTATTCGATGTAAAGAAATATTCTTATGAGGCATTGCACGTAAGCCACACCAGATTCAGCATAGACTTGCTCAATGACCATCTCCGATTGAGCTCCTATTTTTACAGTAGGTAGGCCATACTAAGTTATGAAAAAACCCAAAATTTCAGCTCAAACGAATAAGCCGTTCCGAAGATATAAGCGTTACAAGTGTCATGTGTAGTGCATATTTGAAGAGAATTTTAGTCCAACTTTTGAGACTAAATTTTCAATATCGCACGAACGATAAAAGATAGAACCGAGATTTTTTTACCATAAATACTACTAGTGATAGGCTATAGCTTCATGGTATAAAAAGTACCTATTGATCAGATCTTTCTTCTTTTGTAGCACATACCTATTGGGATAGGTGTCCAAGGTACATCAGTCGGATCAGTGAAGTAGATTATTTTGAGACTAGTCTCATCTGAAAGAGCACATCAAAATGCATTGATTGCCATCTTCAAAAGTTTGTAGAAATGAATTTCGTCGCACAAGTTTCCTCGACAATATCCTTATATTTTATGAAAATATCATCAAATAAAAATCTAGTCTTGCAAGGTATTTGTGATGTAATATTATTAGATATTACTGTCTGTAAGGACAGCAAATATATATTCCGATAGTGCATGATATTCTCTATCATTCTATGTATATACATTCCAGATTATCTTTGTTCAAAAGAAAAACCTATTCAAACAGTAAAAGTATTATTATCATGGAAATTTTTCTATATCATATTTTTTCCTTATTTTTTTAAAGAGTTTTTAAAACGTTGATAATTAAATACATCTGTCATTATAAACGTTATGGCATATGCCTGTAGAAAAACATGGAATTCTATATCAATCTATAATTTACATCCTTATCTTAATCTTTTATATTGTGTCCACACTAAGAATTTATGTATGTAAAAAAAAAAACTAATTATTATATGTTCATATGAATCTTAACCAAGTCAAATAGTATTTGCTTCTACTTTCTCGTCTATTCAGTATTCTGATTTCTAGAAGTCACTGTCAAAGAAGTATA